CATGTCCCCCCTTGTCTTTCTCTTCGTTAAACTAGACATACCCAATTCTAGCAACTGTTCCTTATATGTTTCAGCCTCCAGTCCCCTAATCATCTTTGTTGCTCTTCTCTGTACTCTTTCTAGAGTCTCAACATCTTTTTTACATCGTGGTGACCAAAACTGGATGCAGTATTCCAAGTGTGGCCTTACCAAGACATTGAAGAGTGGTATTAATACTTCATGTGATATTGATTCTATCCCTCTGTTAATGCAGCATAGCACTGTGTTGGCCTTTTTGGCAGCTGCAGCACACTGCTGGCTCATATTTAGGTGATTGTCTACTAGGACTCCGAGGTCCCTCTCACAGTTACTACTATTGAGCATGGTGCCACCTATGCTGTACTTGTGCATTTGGTTTTTCTTGCCTAAATGTAGAACCTTGCTTTTTTCACCATTGAATTTCATTTTGTTAGTTAGTGCCCAGTGTTCAAGTCTGTCCAGATCCTTCTGTATCTTAAGCCTCTTCTGGAGTGTTGGCTATTCCTGCCAGCTTGGTGTCGTCTGCAAATTTGATGAGTTCCCCATCTATCCCTTCGTCCAAATCGTTGATGAAGATGTTGAAGAGCACTGGGCCCAGAACAGAGCCCTGGGGCACCCCACTACACACTTCCCTCCATATAGATGCAGTTCCATTGAGGACCACTCGCTGAGTACGGCCAGTCAGCCAGCTACGGATCCATCTGGTGGTGATTCTGTCTACCCCACATTTTTCTATCTTATCAAGTAGTAGGTTGTGATCTACTTTATCAAATGCCTTACTGAAGTCCAAGTAAATTATGTCCACAGCATTCCTCTGATCCACTAATTTTGTCACTTGGTCAAAGAATGCAATAAGATTTGTCTGGCATGATCTATTTTTGACAAACCCATGTTGGCTTTTAGTAATGACTTTGTTTGCCTCTAGGTGTTTGTTGATTCATTGTTTGATTATCTTTTCCAGGATCTTCCCAGCTATTGAGGTCAGGCTGATAGGTCTGTAATTTCCTGGATCCAATTTTTTTTCCTTTTTTGAGGATGGGAACTACATCAGATCTTCCCAAGCCCTCTCTAAGTTTATTGAAATTAGCTCTCTTTGTTGTTTATATCTCAGAATTTATGTTGATTGATTATTTAGTATCTTATGACTATCACTGAGTGTTGTATCTTATGATTTATTATGGTTGTATTTTATAATTATGATCATGATTTATCACTTATTGCTTGTATGTAGACTGAGAGCTTATGCACAGGAGAAAAATTCCTTGTGTGTCCAATCATACTTTGCCAATAAAGAATTCTCTTCTATTCTATTCTGTAACAAGCTATCTGTCCTGGTAGAGCTGGAACACTAGAATCAGCTGATGCCAAGTTTATTATGATTTCTACAGAGATTTTAGATACCATTTGCTCTCTGCTTTGGAGTCAGAGTTGAATCCTGGTAACTACAATGACAATTCCATAGAGTTTTCTAGGCAACATTTTGAGGTACTGGATGAATATAACTTCCGTTCTTTTTCTGACCATGATTAAAATGGCCAATGTTATACAATTACTTGTAGAATTTGCCAGCAAGGAATAGCCAATTACATTATCGTTATTTTAGGTGGCAATCTTTAGTATAGGACTATAATCTATGAATGTCAATTGGCTCGATGCCCATGGTTTAATGTTTTTATATTCTATCTTTCTTCTGTTCAAACTGTTGCATTTTATTTATTGTTTCATTTGTTGTTTTAGTCTATAAGAATAGAACGAAACTAAATTAAATGTGAGATGTTACAGAATGTTGAATAAACCTACAGCTTTCATCTTAGGTGCCAGCATTGTATTGACCAATTTAAAGCATCAATATTCAGATATGTTTTACGTTCATGTGTGCATACAGGGCAGGAGGGAGGGAGGGGAAATGGAGGGAGAGAGGGGGAGGTTACAGATTTCAAGGTAAGCAATATAATGCAGAGGACATAAAAGGAATAAAAAATAGTAAACCAAAGAAAAGCATGAGATATGGGAAAAAAACTAATCCAGTTTATAATAATATTATTCACTATACTCTTTCAGACCTTTCTATTCATACAAACAATCATTGTTTTCACATCTGCCTTCCTTCAAATTGCAATATTATTTTCCAGTTAGTCCAGCAATCTTTAATTAATATTCATTATAAGCTAGTTAAATGTCCTTTAGTTGCTTCAAAGTGACAATAAGATATTCACTATATATTGGTACAGAGAAACCAACACAACAACCTTCCTCTTTTTAAAAACAATATTCACATGAGGAACTTTTAAAAAATGTAAATACCTAGATAATCCTGCTATAAAGGAAACACAACACCAAGAGATAAGCCATTTAAGAGGCAACCAAAGCCTTAAGGGAAGCAACAGAGCTCTTCAAAGCTAGAAGATTAATCTCCACAGGAGTTCCAGAAATGAAATAGAGGAAACAAGCTTTATCTGAATAAGGATTAAATAATAATTTTCTTTTCTTGCTTTCTATAGTTGTGGAACATAAGGACTAGAATTCTTATTGATCTTCAAAGTTCTTGAGAATCTAACAGGAAATTATTTGATGACATGATACAATGAACCGTGGAAAAATTCAGCTGAAAGGTGCAGCAAAAAAGACTAACTGGAGGCAGATATAGAGGATTTTCCAGTATTTCAACTTAAATAGATTTTTTTTAAAAAAAATCCGGAGCTGCACAATCAGAGGCCTGGGGTCACCCTCTAAAGTACTGAATTTCCTTGAATGTGTCAGAAGAGGAACATGATGGAATACATGACAAGGACTATATTACGTTTGCTCATTTTTAGTTATATGTAAACGAAATGAAATCAAATTTAAATTTAATCATTGGCCTACCCATTACTTTTTGTATGCAGTCACTAGCATGCAACACAGGGGCTAAATATGGCTTCAGCTTAGGAAAAAAGTTGTGTTAATCCATATTAGGTTCGTTGCCAAAGAGTAAACAAGGCATTTCAAGCTTTAACTTATCAAACAATTCACTTCTCTGCATGAAATTTTTAGAAAGTAGGAAGGTTGAGTCCTTTTATATCCTCTATGGATCCAACACTATAAAGCAGCAGTGTTCAACTTGGCAACTTTAAGATTTGTGGGACTTCAGCTCCCAGAATTCCCGAGTCAGTCAGGCAGGCAGGCAGGCAGGCAAGCGGCTACAATTTGAAACGTTTGTCCTCCTAGTTTCTACTTCTTGACCAAGTCCTTATATTTTTTAAAAATCAAGAAACATTGGGAAAAAGATTATTTTTCATCTATAAACTTTCCAAACCTGTCAAAGGAATGGACAGTGCACTCAGAGATGGCTGCATCCTTTACAGATTTTGAAATGTACATGAAGAGAAGGACGAGGGATGACATGATAGCAGTGTTCCAATATCTCAGAGGCTGCCACAAATAAGAGAGAGTCAAGCTATTCTCCAAAGCACTTGAAGGCAGGACAAGAAGCAACGGATGGAAACTAATCAAGGAGAAAGCAACCTAGAACTAAGGAGAAATTTTCTGACAGTCAGAACAATTAATCAGTGGAACAACCTGCCTCCAGAAGCTGTGAATGCACCAACACTGGAGACTAGACAGCCATTTGTCTGAAATGGTATAGGGTTTCCTGCCTAAGCAAAAGGTTGGACTAGGTGACCTCCAAGGTCCCTTCCAACTTTTATTTTATTATTATTATTATTATTATTATTATTATTATTATTATTAGTAGTAGTAGTAGTAGTAGTAGTAGTAGTAGTAGTATTTATTCTAGCTTTGTGCTATTTATACACTCTTTTTTTTCCTATCAGACACAACTACCTTAGTCTTTAACACACTAATTTTCAGATTCAGTATCCTATATCATGTAAGTTATCTTCACATTTACTGCAAACAATTTGCTACAACAGAATATGATCTGTCAATAAAAATACATTCAAGTCCCAATCAATGTGCCTCCAACATCACTATGAGCATTCTTTACATATTTATCCATAAACATATTAAACAACTAAAGGGACATCACATATCCTTATCCTATTTCCTGCTCAGTGTTGAACCATTTCCATTTATTCTCATCTATCATTTCCTTCTATCACATCTGGTTTTACAAAATACTTTGAGATACAATTAAATAAAAGGTTACCAATTTGGGGTACATGAAGTGGAGAGGGGATCAGAAAATTCAAGATAGTGGTCACAACCATATGTTCAAAGCCTCACAGAAAAAAGTCATAGGGCTTTGACCATAGTGGTATGCCACTATATTAACCTTTTTTTACTCCACCAAGGACACCCTTGTTACCAGCCCTAGTCAGACCCTCATTCCTATTATTGGAAAGTAAAGTATCAGTCTCGTATGGCACATTTTGGACAGTATACCACAAGTGCAAGCAAATTCCAATTTTACCACAAGCAATTTCCTGCTATTCTGGGATTTCTCCATATTCTACCAATGTGGAGGTCCATGTGATATATCAACACATTCTCTGGATACATAAAGGGAATTCAAAATAATGACATTTGTTGTCCCAAATACCTTATAGCAGAAATAAGCTATCACAGTAGACTGTACACTAAACTAGAAGTCTTCAAAACTCCACCATCAACATTCAGTAACATAACCAGCTAATTCTCCATGGACTGGGGTAGAAAATCATATCAAATAAATAAGTTAGATTTCTGAGAGGTTAATCTTTCTATAAGAGAGGGAGTAAAGTCCATCATTCCAATTAAAAAATGAAAATGAAACAAAAGGGCAAATCAAGATCCCTGGCCCACCTATTCTGAAGAATTTGTAATGTGCTAATCCTCTGATACCCCCAGTGAAATATACTCTTAACTTAGAGATTCAAACTAATTCTTTAAATTATATCCTGTCCAAGATAACTAAACACATAAATAAACAATATAAATGCCCAGGAATCAGACAGCACTGAAAATATTTTCTAAAAATTTGAAAGATTCCAGTAAGCCTTTACCTTTGCAGTTTTTCTTCTAGCACTTCCATGTACTTGAGAGTGTTTTCTTTCAACTTTTTCTCTGTAAGACAAATATGATTTTTTTTTCCAGTGAGAGAAGAAAGAAAAAAAGTATAACAAATTTTATAGAAATTGCTTGGAGAATTTTACTTATTTTGCTCCAAATAAAATTTTGTTCCATTCAATTTTCAGATATGAAATCAAAGATGTGTTCTTTAATAAGAGTTGCATTCAGCACGATGGGTGGCTATGTAAATTTGATGAATGAATAAATAATTGTCTCAGAAATACCCAGCTGCTAAACACTAAAGCAGTGGTTCTCAACCTTTCTAATGCCATGACCCCATAATACAGTTCCCCATGTTGTGGTGACCCCCAAGTGGGTGTGGCCACCAATAAGAGGGAGTAGGACAGCTAGGGAAAAGGGAAAAAGATGACGGACAGTGTGGTTTGGCGACCCCCGTGAAATGGTCATTCGACCCCAAATGGGGTCCCGACCCACAGGTTGAGAACCACTGCACTAAAGGTAAAGATTTCCCTGTCAGTTGTGTCTGACTCTAGGGCGTGGTACTCATCTCTGTTTCTTGGCCAAGGGAAAGCATTGTTTAAAGACAATTTCCATGGTCACATGGTGGCTATATGCCAAAGGTACACAGAATGCTGTTACCCTCCCACTGAAGTGGTACCTATTAGTCTACTTCCATTTGCATTTTTTTGCATCACTAGGTGGGCAAGAGCTGAGGCAAGTAAGGGGAACTCACCTGTTGTGTGGAGCTCAGTCTTGAACCTGGGCTGTTAGCTCTTCAGCTGACAAAGTCAGCATCTTTAGTCACTGAACCATCGCACCCCCTTCTAAACACTACGAATGGAATAAGATTCTTCAAAGATGGAGAATTGTCACAGGTTCTTTTGAAACTATATCCAATTTTGGGGACGCAAGAGTCAAGAGAGCCATCAACAGCACAAGTCTTTAAACAACCAAGATATAGTTCTCCCAACGGTCTGAGGAGATATTGTGCGATTGCAAACTGTCCAATATACAGACCTTCACCAGAACATATAGCTCTAACTCTGAGTGTCTGTTACTGTCTCGGTCTATATTCCCTCCTGTTGCTAGTAATTCTATTTTACTAGACTGATCACTAGAAAAACAACTTGTACTAGACTACACCCCACAGATTTACTAACAAGGTTTTCTTCCTCCAAATCCTGTGTTGACTCTTAATTTCTCCAGCATGATTGGATGGAGAACCCACGGATGGGTTGTCTTAATCTATCTGCTCCAATTAGACTAAGTCTGAAATTTAGTACCGCCCCCTCTGTGCCAACTGCACCCCAGTTTTAGACTTAGTCTCTTTGCCCCAAGACACGTTTTGTCTTCGCTCCTGGAGCAGAAAACTGTTTAATTCTATTTAATTACTTAGCTCAGGCTATTATTATTATTTGTTATTTTATTATTGATTCAGAATCGATTATATCTAGAAGAAAGAACAATTATCCCAGTCTGAAGCCTATTCAGGCTGACAGACTCACAATCCTCTCCCTCTAGGGGGGGGGACTTTTCCCTTCTTTGTTTTCCCTCAGTTAGGGACAGCAAGATCAAACCTTTGATTTAGGTCGTTTTCAGAGCCTCATCAAGCCTGGAGGGAGCCTTCCCAGGTCCCTCGGCCCCAGCAGAGAGCAGCAGGTGAGAATTTGGGCGCGGCCCAATTTTCGGAGCCGGGAGGGCCTGTCAGGCCTTGGACGACAGCTTTTCCAGCCGGCCTAATCACATGCCACCAGCTGCTTTAGGAGCCCAGGCGATTCACCCGAACGAGGGCTCGTTGCAGCTTAGACCCTAGGCCTCAAGGCCTTCTTCCAACGGCCGTTTTTTAGGGCGCGAAATTGGCGGCCGCCATTTTGAATTGCCTCCCGGTGGCCATTTTGGGTGTGGCTGAAGCCCCCGGTGGCCATTTTGTATGTGGTTGAGGCCCTCGGCGGCCATTTTGTGAGTGGCAGAAGTCACTGGTGGCCATTTTGTGGGTGGCGGAAGTCACCGGCGGCCATTTTGTGTGGGGCTGAAGCCTTGGCGGCCATTTTGAGTGTGCCTGAAGTCACTGGTGGCCATTTTGTGGGTGGCTGAAGTCACCGGCGGCCATTTTGTGTGGGGCTGAAGCCTCGGCGGCCATTTTGAGTGTGCCTGAAGTCATCGGCGGCCATTTTGTGTGTGACTGAAGCCCTCGGAGGCCCTTTTGTGCGTGGCAAAAGCCCTTGGCGGCCATTTTGTGTGTGGCTGAGGCCCAGACTGCCTGGAACCTTTCTTCTGAAGGCAGTATTACATCATCGGTGGCAGGATCGTCGAGAGAGCAGGTTCGACCGGGGAGGGCCTGATCGATCCTAAGTGATCGGGGTGCCCATTAACTCCCCGCCCACCCCCTTTTGGGCTGAAGTATCTCTGTAGACTCCCTTGGTGAAGTACAGCGCCGAGGGGGGGCGTTTTGCCAAGGTTGAGACCAGAGCAACTCATCATGGCAGAGAAAGGCAGAGAGCCGGCCAAGAGGAGTCGCCAATCAGAGGCAAGTGGTAAGAGCACCACCAAGCGAGCCCGGCCAAGCAGGGAGCCACAGAGGGAGGAAGGGTGCCAAAGACTGAGAGCGGCCTCCCCAGATCTGACAGGCACGATGGGAAGGTCTATATTTGAGCCCCTTTCTTCGCACAGTGCCTCAGCCCCAGGGGCCTGGTCTCCCCCCAGGGGAATTCCTGAGTCAGATTCAAACCTAACAGTGGCTTCAGGGAGGGGTATAACCGGTCATGACACCTCAGGGCCCCAGGCCACATTCACTCCCACTGCAGCAGGACTTCGCCCTCCTGAGAACCAGGCCCTGAACCCGAACCTCCTCCAGTCCATGATAGCCCAGGCTGTGGCTCAATTTATGGCCTCCAACACCCACAGCCACCCCCACAGGCCACACATCATTCACAATCTCCGGATTGGATGGATGATCCCGCATTGGATTTGGAATCTACAGGAGCTGAACAAGCTGGCCTAATTTTGTCTGAGGACGAGGGCTTCGCCCCATCCGAACCCACCCCTCCTGTCGGTCTCTTTGACCATTCCTTCTTCAATTCCCTGCTTCTCAAGGCCTGCACCACTGCAAACCTCGCCCAAGAACAGGAGAACCCACCAACATCCCAGGGTCCCCATGCCATATACACTGAGCCCTCTGTCTCACAGAATCATATTCCCTGCCCTCCCCTTTTTCTAAATATAGTCCAGAAACAATGGGAAAAACTAGGATCCCCCTTAAGCCCTGGTGCGGTAGAGAGAACATTGTTCAATGTTGCTCCTTCCCTGACCTCCCTTGCGGAGATTCCTGAGATTGATGAGCCCTTGAACTCATTGTTTCCCAAGTCCAACATCCCTGGGGACATAAATGAGGCACTAAAGGCAGAGGACAAGAAGATTGAGTCCGCCCTACGCAGGTACCACCAGGCATCAGCCTGGGCAACGAGGGCGGCAACCTCCATGGCCTTCTTTGCCAGGGCTTCGGTCCTGTGGCTACGGGAGCTCCAGGACATGATCCCTCCAGACCAGCTCAGAGCCCACCAGAATCTGGGTAAGTTGGTGGCCACGTCCCAGTATCTAGCCGATGCCTCCTTACACACGATCAGATACACTGCCCGGACCATCGCGGCAGACATTTCAGCACGAAGGCTCCTTTGGCTCAGAAACTGGCGAGCAGACACCAAGGCCAAGTGGCGCCTGGCCTCTAAACCTTATACAGGTGGACAACTCTTTGGTAAGGCGCTAGAGCCATACCTAACCGAAGGTAAGGATAAACGCAAGACCTTGGTTAATACATCAAGGAGGGGAGATAGACGCTGGGGGAACTTGTCGCAGAGTAACTACAGAAGGCAGCCCTTTCGGCCAGCGCCAGCCTGGGACTGGGCCCAGGCTCCTCGCCCCTCCTTTCAGAGACAGGAACGACAACAAGATCGTTCAGCATACAGAGGCAGATCACAGTTCCAGACCAAGCGGTCCTTTCGAGGCGCAGGGAGCCGCTCCTTTAAGCGAGACAAGTGAACCTGCAGCCTCACCTCCCATAGGAGGCCGGCTGGCCCTCTATTCCAGCATTTGGACGGCCACTACTACGGACGCATGGGTGTTAGACACCGTCTCCCAAGGTCTGAGACTAGAATTTTGTTCCCATCCACCTGACAGATTCCGCTCTTGTCCTATTTCAACGAACAGGACCAGAGCTGAACTTATGTCAGAGGCAATAGCTCATTTATTGCAAATACAAGCAATTGAACCAGTACCACAAGACCAAGAAGGACGAGGGTTTTACTCAAACCTTTTCGTCATTTCCAAGACTTCAGGGGGCTGGAGGGCGATCTTGGACTTAAAAGGTCTAAACCTCTACTTGAGATATAAAAAATTTAAGATGCAATCACTTCAATCAATCCTGGCTGGCGTCAGGCAAGGTGGCTTTCTTACCTCCATAGACCTGACTGAGGCATATTTGCACATCCCAATTTTTCCTGGACACCGCAAATTCCTCAGATTCAGTTATGCCCGACGCCACTACCAGTACAGAGCCCTTCCATTTGGCCTCTCATCTGCACCGAGAGTATTTACAAAGGTACTGGCAGTGATTGCAGCCCACCTTAGACAAATTCCCATCAGAGTTCAATGCTATCTAGATGACATTCTAATTCAGTCATCATCATGGCAAGGTGCCCAAGCAGACCTCGCCCTAGCCATCAAGGTTTTGCAGGAGCACGGTTTTTCTGTGAATTTCCAGAAAAGTCATACTGTACCAACAACTCGGCTCCTCCATTTGGGCACAGTTATAGACACAGGCAACTGCACGGTCTACCTATCTCAGGACCGACGGAACTCTATCCAGACTCTTGTACGTCGGATCCGAAGGGACAGAGTAGTCACATTGGCATCCCTTTCACAACTACTAGGGAAGATGGTGTCCTGCGTGCAAATTGTGCCATGGGCACGTCTCCATGCCAGAGAATTACAGTGGCTTCTCCTTCCATTTCAGAGACTTCATACCAGCACATCCCACC